TTCTGCAGGAGATCTTTAGGAAGCTTATTGGTTTGTGTGAGGACGTCTCGAAGACCGGCATTTGCTGCTTCAATGACCTCCTGTGACCTGGAGTATAGCGATTTGAAGAAGACCGAAATGATGCGAGCACGGCTAGTATTCTGCGGTGTGTTGGCAAATTCAGAGAAGCTCATTGCCATAGACAAGAGACGAAGACAAGCAACGCGTAGATTCACGATCATATCTGCGTTCTTGAACTCATTCGGCTTGGACGCGAGAGATTCATCGTCAGCGTCGGCAAGGGCAAGAGACTCCAGCATCAATCGGTTGAGCGGCTCATTGAAGGTGACGATGTCGTTGTGAAGGCTGAGGCAGTACGTGATGGCATCGATGAAGCCAATCTGCGTTGGGAAGGGTAGAGCACGCAGTGGCTTGTTGAAAATCGACTGCAACAGGCGGTCTTTCACTGGCAGGATCAGCTCATGTACCTCACAGCCAAGCACTTCCTTCAATGTGGTGAAGCAACGACGAGAGGTCTCTCGGACATGCTTGTTCATATGCCCGAGCTCGTAGACGAAAAAGCCACAAAGGGCATACAAGCGGCTCTTTTCGTTCTTCAAGTCTTCCTTAGGGATGAGCTTGCCGCATTTCTGAAGAATCAAGGACATGGTCTCCTGTGACTGAATGCGTGTGGCAGCAGGCAGGTCCGCAGGGGTGTCCTTGATGACATACATCAAAGCCCGAGAGAACTCGACGTGCCGTTCATAGAGCCATGACTCTCCCAAGTCCAGCTTGGTCGCGAGCAAGTTGATACCAAGACTTCCACCCGCTTTTGTGAACCATTCTTCACTGTGGCAGCTGTGACAGAAGACACGGCCCAGGTGCTGGAAGAATGGGAGCTTAGCGGCCTTCTCGGGGGAGCCAAAGATAACGCCCGCAGCATCCCTGACAACCAGCATGGCTTGCTCGGCAGCTTCCCGGACGTGGACCTCATCAGATGACAGACACTCAACGAGAGCCTCGGCCAGAATCTTTGAGTCGAGGTAAACGGGACCCTCGCCACTTGCAACATCAAAGGCCTTGCGACCATGTCTGGCTTGCGCTAGCGCACGTCCAACCTCAAGAAGAGCAAAGTGCTTGCAGACATCAGCGACGAAAGCTGTAGCAGCCGGCTCAAGCTCGGGGATTGTTGTGGCAAAGATGCAGGCCTTGAGCAGCTTCTTCACGATTGCTTCCTGTGCCACCTTCTTGGGAATGGAAGCCGACCTTTCGGACTTATCAAGAATGTCAGCCATGGCACCAGGCTTGTTCTCGAAGAGATCATTTGCATGGAGTCTGATCAACGTTGCCAGGTCGTCAGGAAGGTTATCGTAGCCGATTTGAAGCTTGAGGTGGGAGCTGAGCATACGGTATGCCTGCTGCTTGTAATAGATGTCCGAGGCTTTGGCGGAATCAGTCTTTGGAACCTCCATGAGCTTGCCAGCAGCAAGGTCAATGCCAATATCCACAGGGAAAGGTCGCTTCTCGTTGGGACCGATAAGCCTGATATCAAAGCTTGGGTTGTCATCAGAGTACTGCTGGAACGACAGCTCTGGTGGGTGGTTGAGGAACTTGCGGTTGCGTCCACCCAGCTTGCCTAAGATGCGCATGGTAGTGTGTGCGTGGAAGTGGTTGTAGGGATGGGGGCGAAGGTGGTCCCAGAGTGCAGTCATGAGCTCGTCCATAATTGGAGCCATGATTGGGTCGAGGTAGTCGGCAGTGAGGTTGTCCACACATAGTTCCAGGGTACGCAAACCTTGGCCAACAAGGTCTGAATCCGCACGCAAGGCCACCACGATGGGACGCATTAGGTAGCTAAGATGAGGGAGAAGATGGCTCAGGCGGGCGGGAACGGTGAGGGTAAGTTCAACATAGAGGTCTCGTTCTTGCGGCTTGCGGGCGGCAAGTAACAAGTTGTTGAACGTTTCGAGGAGCATCTCGAGGAGTGGGAGAATCTCCTTGTAGAGAAGCTCGAACCGCCCCCCACCAATGCTTCGGAAGAGGGAGCGCAGGAGGAGGAAATAGTTCATGGGCTCCTCTGCTGTGACAGAAAGCTCGATACACTTGGTGACTATCTTCGTCACATGGGGGTGAAGCACCTGCTCATTCTGCACGGAGAACAAGGTCACAGCCATGAAAGAAAGCTTGAACATCCTCAAAAGAATCTTGGCCTTGGTCATATCTGATGTCCCAACTTCATCAATACGTTCCATAAGGTACTGTAATACCATGCCGGAGAATGCGGGAGAGGTGGCTTCGCTGGCGAGGAAGAACTGTGGCAGGTGAAGCAGAGATCCATGTTCGAACATGAGCTCGTGCAGATATGGTATTTCAGAGTGGAAGACCTCATGGAATGTTGCGGTGTCAATGCAGTGGAAGACAGTGCCAAAGCTTTCCAGAAGCTCCTTCTCTTCACGCGACATCGGTGCAGTGTACTGGCTTGCCAGGAAGTCAAATGGAGATGAGTAGTTCATATCGGGCGGAGACTGATCGACTCCATAGTAACGGAATACACGAGCTCCCTCGTGGAAAAGTTTCTTGATAACGCGGACCTCCTCGGCATTGTAGCCGTATGAGACTTCAGACCAGTTGATGGGAACGCTGTTCGGGTCAATCTGAACATCATCGGGATTGCAGTTCTTCAACTGGCGGAATATGTTCTTGAGCCCGTTGATCAAGTTCCTGAACAGGAAGATGTTGTCTGAAACAGGGTCACCACCACGATCGCGTGGGCTCGAAGTCTTGATAGGAGAAGCGGAGAAGATATCAATTTCATCCCAGTCAGGTGGCTGATCCTTCTCCGCGAGATAGTTTTCAGCGCATGGCTCTGTTTCTTTCCGGTAGACCTTGTACGCCTTAGATACCTTGACAGCGTTGTTGAACTGATGGTTCATCGATGCAAACTTATCACCAATGGCGTCCAATATCATAATCAAGAAATAGCGGGCTTCGCGCTTGTCTTCAAGCTTGGAGATGTTCTCTGCCATGTTCAGGAGGAGCTTCGCACTCATGGTCTGGAAGCTTGTGCCAGGGAAATCGTCGTGAAGGTTCTTCGTGTAGACCTCAACGGTGCGCCGGATTTGATCACGGCTGAGATGGTCGCGAACATGGTGAATCAGATCAGCCAGCATGCTATAAGCCAACGGCCTCATCGTCTCGTAAACAGTGAGGCCGTCTCCAATGAGAGTTCGCTCATCCAAAAGTTCGTCGATCTTCTCGAGGAAGATCTTGCGGTAGTTGAAATTGATGATGTGACGAATGGCGACGAGTAACTCCTTGCGCGCACCTGACTTTTCTCGTGGGCAGTCTTGAAGAAGCCGCACAACAACGGAAGGAAGAGTAGGAAGGAAATCCTGGAGCTGGTGGGCATATAACCTCAATAAATATGCCAAAAAGCTCATTGTCTTCACCTGGGCCGTGATGAACTCTCCAAATGCAGCGCGGTTCTTGATTTCCTTGCATACGCCGGTAAATATCGTGCCCTGCGCGGCAGCCTCTGCGTGTGCCTTTTCCTGTGGCTTGGCCTGGAGCAGCAGGATTGTCTTGATGAGAGGTACGAAAAGCTTGACGTTCGCCGAAACGGATGCACGGTGTGTCTGGAATATCGAGACGACGATGATGGGGCACTCGGCAAGAACCTTGAATGACTGCATTCCCTTCAGAAGGACATTGCTCGACTGCTGGTCGGGTCCTAGATCTGAAACTGAGGTGGCAGGCGAGCTTGGTCGAGGCGACTGGAAGTTCTGTGCCGTTGCATTGGGCGTGGATGGCATGCCGGATGGTGTCGCTTGGTTTGGAGTGTCGAAAGTATCCCGAACGACCTGTTCCATGGTCTGGAACATCTCTTGAATCAGTTCCAAGAAAGCTTGCACCCGGTGTGCAGTCGCCTTTGCTTGGTTCCGCTCCAAATCCATGATTGTCTTCATGCATAGCACTGCGTTGTCCTCGTTTTCGATCCGCGCAAGCTCCATCAGCAAGTCCACCATGTCAACAGCATACGGTTCAACGTCGGGGGAGCCCATGGGTAATCGGTGTAGCGTCTCGAGGATGCAGTTTCGTAGTTTCTGTAAATGCGGGTGGTGGTTAGTTCAGCCGTGCTATACATGTATATATTGATCGAGAACGAATCCGTTCCCGAATAGAACGAAATTATCTCACTTGTTCATAAGACATGCTGAAGAAGACCGGGTCTCCCTTCAGGATAGTCTTGAACACCGGCCATAACTTCGATAAGAAGATGGGGTAGCTTGCGCCCGAGCATAGGGGCTCAATGCTGTCTCGTAATTCGGTAGCAACATTAGCTCTGACTTTCACGTCTAGTGAGAACGACAGGTGGTTAGCACGAGGACGAGGTGACTGGATGGGCCAGTGAGCTCATAACGTACCCAGCTTCTCGTCGCCGAGCTTGCTGGCGTAAATCTCAATATTCCTCTCCATCCTTGCGATCGCACCCTTGGAAAGGGCTTGTCTCTAAAGAGAAAGAAACAGCAATGACGGCCGGGCCAAGAGGCCGGCTGAGAAGTACAGAGTGTGCGCAATCTTCCCAGGGGGAAATTGGACTCTCATGTGTTGAGTTGTGGTGTCAAAAAAGCTGTGTGGACTCGATCGATTTGCGAAAAGATGGGTGACGGGTAGGGTTTAAGGAAGGCAGTCATCAAGTCATTGAGTCTTCCAGAAAGAAAAAAAATGCCTAGTCCATTGAGCGAAAGAGAGTTCGGAAGGCAAAGGGTGTATCGAAGTACCCCGCGGGGAAGGTGGTGAGGGAGATTGGAGGGAGTTGGAGGTCGCGCGATATTCACGAGAGCAGAACAGAAGACGCGGGCTATCGCAGAGACCCCGAAAGAAACACTAGTCCGCTTTAGGCAACTATTTCGGCACTGGTTGATCCGTTCCGGGCCCCTGCTATACGAACTACGAACACAAGGTATTTTCTAGGTGGTTTTGGGTTCCGTTATTTGTGATGTATGTGTCAATATATGATACCTCAATATTGTCTCTCATCACTCCAGTGACTTGCTACTCAATAACGCTTTACTTCTCACTTGGGGCATCGAAATACCTCAAGGCAATGTCAGATCCTAGAATTGGTCTAAAATAGTAGAAGAGAACAGAAAGAGAAAAACACAACACATAGACAGCCATCGCCATCATGGTCGATGGATGGAAACGCCATTCGCACCCGTTTTCCATACCCGAACACGGTTCTAAGACTGGCTCCAACCCAGCATCCGCTCACTTGATCACGAAATGTGAGAGGAGCCAGTCGCGGAAAGGAAAATATCAAAAAAGTCCATGTACACAAAAGAAAAAGAAGATAAAAAAGGCAAAAGGCACAGGTATTTGGGCATCAGTCCGGGCGAGTATCGCCGAAATCAAAAGACAAAAAATATTGTTGCCCATAGTCGCTATGCCATCGCAGGAGAAAATCAACGGAAATCACATGTCCATCAGCAGTCCATCCCCTCCGAGACATTATTTGGTAGAGTTGCTTCGATGCAAGATCTGTACATTGGTGGCACTGGTACCGCTGCCAACCGATCGTCGTCGCGGGCGAATCTCGCTGCCGCTACCGCTCCGTCGTCTCCGGCCACTGCTGCGAATGGAGCCTCGGCGTCGTGTCTGGAGCAAACGGACGTTTCCACGTTAGAATCACGCTGGCTGTACATGGGCGGACGCGGTCTCTTAGCAAAAGACAAATACGAGGGCAACAGAGCCAGACACAAAGGATAAAGTCCGCATAGGAACGCACGGATCTGGGCAGCAGAGCAGCACGTATCAGAGATGCACAGAACTTACCGAATTTGGGGTGCCCTCCCGACTGGGTCGCTCCTTGGAGCTATCGGGTTCCTCCTGTAATTTCAAAGTGTTCAACCGCTTTTGGCTCTCGTGGGTCATGGCCTCTACTTCATCGATAGGTTCCGGAACGTCTAGGGCAGGGGGTGGCGGGGGAGGAATGCCATTCTTCCGGTCTTTAGCTTGTTGCTCTATCATGTCCCACCGATCTGCGCGTGTCTTCTCGCGTTGATCTGCGTTGTTCTGATGCTCGGTATATTCGTGGGAACATTCATCGAAGAGCTGGGGGTTAATCTCCATGAACATCTTCATGGCATTGTACACCATGCTGTGAATTGTTCTGCGAGGGTCAGCTGATGATCGTTTGGGGAAGTATGTCAATCTTACCGGTTCCAATGTCCCTTTGAGTTCTCGTAAAGGGGGGCGAACATGATGGGGAGAATTGTCTCCACATTGTCACTCACGAGGTTGCAGAAGTACTCGTTGTTCCAAAAGTACAAAGCACGTTCAGCCACCTGGAAATGAGGGCTGGCAACAGACTTGGCCAGTTGATGGAAAAGAGGCTCTTGGACCTTGGCAAATTCACCTGGATCCATCACTTCGAAGATATCTTCCACCTCATTCAGATACATAACCTCCTTGGTGCTGTTTGTCTTCGGCCAGAAGCGGAGCAATCCAAGAACAACCTGGATAAATCATTAGTACTGGCGTTGGAAGCAACTGGACATCAGGGCTTACATCTTCGGTCAATGTGGAGTCTTTCTCGAGGAACTGCACAATACAATAGGCCAGCTGTGGGTGGTACATGCTGAGGCTCTTTACCTTGTGCATTGGGAGGAGGACTCGAGTCAGGAACAACTTGTGTTCTTCCTTCAGCGGCAAGGCGAATCCGTTGATAATCGAACCCAAAATTTCAAGCAGTTCAGCGATACCGTTATGTCGTTCAGTCTCGTACATGAACTGGAAGAAGACGTTGTTGATAGATCGTCGGATATACGACCGCAGGTTCAAGAATTTGCCATAGATGCGATGCAATGTCGTCTTCAAGAAATCACGTTCCCGTGGGTCTTCGGAATCAAACAGATCAAGCAACTATATTAAGTTAGTCATTGGGTCATGCATACAACAAGTCATGTGGAAACATACAGAAAGCACAAACTGATGGTCGATGTATCCCTTTGCAATGTTGGTGTTGAAATCCTGGCTCTCGATGAACCTCAAGAAGAACTCATATACAACCTGAATATGAGGCCAAGCAACTTCCAACACGGGCTCATCCTCCTCTGGGTCAAATGCTTCGCCCTGGGGCGTCATAGGTGGAGGGATGGGGCGGAACAAGTTCTTGGCAAACATCTCGACCACGCGGGGGTACATAGGTTCCGTAATGACCGACCGGTTATTGGCAACATAATCCAAGAGCTCATGAAGTGCCAGCCTCTTGATCTCCTTGGACTTCATATCGGCTGTGGGGTCGTTAAAGTCGAAGATGATATTGCACTGGTCGATCTTTTGCATGAACAAGTCTTGTCGGCGATTAGGAGGCACTTCGTGGAAGCCCGGCAGCTTCTCCAATTCTCTCTGGCGCTGATCAGAGATATCAAAGCGAGACGAATGCTGGCGTTTGGGGGTCCGAATTCCTTCCGAAATGTCCTTTGGTGTGGTCTGTAGCCGGTCAAAGACGTGAGACTTTCTCGGGGGTGCGAGGTCTCCGGGCATCGTTTCAGCGGCTCCAGGGGAGGGGCATGCTGTGAAATTTAAATTGTTAGAGATGTAGATGTGGCCACAAAACGTTTGGCTTACCGGTGCACTTGGGCTGATGATGACACTAGGAGCTACAGGCTGCCCTTGTCTAGTGGGGGTTCCTGGTCCATTGCTCGCGGGCTGAGCTGCCGCGCCAGCTTGACCTAAATGGTGTTGGACTGGAGTGCCGGGGTGAGGCGCGCCCGCAGCAGGGGCTCCGGCGGGTGAGGCATTGTCCGGAGATTTGTTTCGCGAATCGTTCAAGGAAGTTGTGGACGAGGTGGGGGTACCTTGGTTGGGGGATGAAGATTGCTGTGTTTGGTGAATGCCGAGCGATGCCTGGTTCTGGGAGTTGGAATCTTTCTTTTTCGAGGACTTGTTGGCGTCTTTCGCCCGCGACAACTGCTCATGCTAAAGGTACAGAGTTAGTTGGACGTCAAGCTGAGTAAGGGGCTGCCCGCGTGCTCAAGAGGGATAGGAAGTGATCGTGCAGTAAGATGCTCGGGAAAGGGTTGGCGGGTAACTCACCACTCTCTGTCTGAAACCCTTCATTTTGACGACTATGTAGATAGCCACATGTACTCGGCTAGGATTCTCGGTGCCAGTGCAGCAAGACGCCGCACTCTAGCCAGAGTGAATCGAGGGGTGCCAACGGAGAAGGCCGCTCGGGATAGCCACGAAGGGGGACTTGTTTGTACCTAATAGGAGAAACTGATGAGCGGTCCGGGTCACACAACATGTTAAGTGGCTAGTCTCAAGTGAATCGACTCTGGACTATATTGGGACCGTGCGGTTCTCGGAGTGGAATCCAAGCCTCAATGGCAACAGCACCAGGCGCTCTAAACAGAATGTATTCGCAGCACGCGCACGGGGTAAGACGTCTCGGTTGGAAGAAAGGGCGAACAGGCCATGGGAGATGGACATTCGATAAGACATACCTCCGTAGCTTCGAGGTGGATAATTGAGGGTTCGAGTATGAGGATTGCCCGGAGCAGGTGTTGGTATCGGACGGAGGTGCTTGGTTGGATCTCCGTGTCGCTTAGTGGCAGGCTGGGAGCGGGGGGTTTGGGAGCACCAGGGGAACAGCACTCAGGTCGCAGCCCAGGGTGAGATCACGAAAAACGAATTCCGAGGAAGTCACCGAGCAGGCAATGTACAAGAGATCAAATAAAGATGATGGTTGGAGGGAGGAGGAAAGGAAGTGGATTGTTGTTGAGGTGTAGGGAAAGGCGGGCTGGTTCTCCTGGCTGTGATGGTGATGAGAGGGGGACCACCAAGTACTCTTTCTTCTACATTTCTACAGGAAATGGACCTTTGGGTTGATTTTGCGGTCCTAATTATTACTCAACAGCCATAGCGTCTCTCCCTCTCTCCTACACGACTTTGTATGCTTTTGCCGCTTGTTTCAAACTTGCTTATGTCATCGCACGTGACCACAGGGGCGACTTGGATTCTCAGGTACCGACGACGTCACTGGAAACTATAGAGACATTGAGGTTTTACTATAGATTGAGAGACGATGCAATGAATAAATATCTTTAACAAAGTCAGTGAAGTCTTTGCTGGAAATGCCGGAACTCGAGGTCTGTGCTCCAACCCCACTCTATGTATAGCCTCTTATGCTGTAGGTCTTGGCTTAGAGGATATCCAAGTAATTTGTGGCTTGCATGCACCATTCTGTTTTTGATCTATCACGCGGTGTGGAGAAAAAATATACTGCAGTTGGCTTGGGTTGGATTTTTTGCTACAGATCGTCCAAGTAGTGGAAATATATCTTTGGTTCATCACTGGTATTTTACTTGATTTGTTGTAACACCATTCATTTTCTCCTGGAGATCTGTTAGCCTCGATATCTATCCTAGTGATAATCTATTGTTCTTTCTACTTTTTCTATTTATTCCTCAGACAAACGTCCAATTGGAACATCGGACTTGTCTCCCAAGCCGAGACATAAGTTGGTGCAGATATACAATTCAAAATAGGTGTATTCAAAAAGAAGGAAGATGCAACTTCTTGCCTTTGTATAAAGCATTATTCTCATCTCAAGAAAAAGTGCAAATACTCTGCAATAATACCAAGTATACAAGCCATACCATTATCATATGACGATCACTGGGTGAGAATGAGGCTGAAATCAAACAGTACTTTACGTCATATGCTGCTGAACCGCAGATTTTCAACATATACATATAGAATTCCGACAAAAACACCAGGGAATCAAATGGGAGCATGATATAGAAGCATTCAAGGCAAGATCCAATTCAGCCAATCAACTAGAGTTTTGCGGGCGACCTCAGTTGCTGAGTCATCATAATCTCCCACTCGGGCTAACCGCTTGTGGAATGTAGACTCGAAACCCTTTCCTCGATGGAAGAACTATATGCATGACTCGCGCGTGGAGGTCGAAGCAGCACATATAAAGTCTGTATATATATGAGTTTAACGAGGTCAACTGCCCAAGGAACGTAACAGTGTTGCGTTTGAACGCGTTTGCAGTCTTCCCACGAGCCACCCAACCACACAGCAGCCAACGATAACTGCGCGTGGAAGCTATCTCAAAAGCACAAAACATTGTTTCTACAAATATAAAAAGAGCCCATCCAACATGGATGACCAGCAAGAACTGAGAACAGCCCCAACCTACCCAGTCCCATCCCGCCTCCTCGTCAGTGTCGAGCACCCTGCTGTGGTCCGCAATGTCGACAAGGCGATAGAGACTCTACAGGGCGACACGGGGATAAAAACCGTGAGAAGATAACACCAAATCAAACGCCAAACAAGGACACTACACTAACACGCCACAGTTCCTGAACCCAGCCAAGCCAGACATACAGGCAAATCTGGTGCTTCGGCCGGATGATGCCATGGCCCGGCCTTTGCAGTCGACCAGCAGTGCATCAAACAATGTCCTGGTCAAGGTGACTGTTCCAAAGCGGACGGGACGGAAGCGCAAGAAGGGCTCGGATGAGCCTTTTATGGACGCACCAGAGTCTGAAGATACGGAGCCGCGGCCACGACGGTCAGCTAAGGATCTGATGCGCAGCTTGAGTGATAACCAGTCTGCGTATCATGTCGAGCCAGTTGGGAAGATACAACGCACTCACGTTTTCCGAGGTTGGTATCCTCGGGTCTTTTCACCGATATCATGCTAACCCCGTACTAGGAATGCCGGATTTCGTTTACTCGACTACAGCGAGCTCCTTTACGAACCGATTCCGGGATCAAATTCTTCCATTTGACTGTGAGTATCTTCAACATGTGAACAGCCCCAAATTACACCTAACATAGCACAGTCGAGAAAATGAAACAGTTCGAGCTGGACATGAGCAAAGGCGCCACTCTCAACGCAGACATCATCCCACCCCCATCCTTCAGCCACGGCGACGTCCCTTTCCACTACATGTAAGTTCCCCATCAAACCAAATCTAACAAAAAACTAACCACCCAAAGCTACCGCCAAAACCCAACAGTCAAACAATCAATCGGCCAATCGGGCGAAATAACAACAGTGAACACGCAACAAGTCCACAAAGTCCTAACCTACCTAGTCCCCTACGACATCGAAAAAGTCCCAACAGAACCACGGCCAGACCTCCCCCCAATCTCAACCCTAGACTCCAGCATGCGTGAAACAATCAACAAACTGCGAGCCCTCTACGAAACCCAACCAGCATGGACACGCCGCGGCCTCCGCAACAACTTAACAACAGACGAGGATCGCACAAACCTACGCCATGCCGTCCCCTACGTAGGCTACATCTTTCGCTCAGGACCATGGCGCGACGCAATCATCAAACTAGGCATCGATCCACGCACCTCACCGGACTACCGACACTACCAAACATTCATGTTCCGCCTCCTCGCGCGCGAAGCAGAACTAGCCCGCGACGGCGCAAGTGGTCGGCGCCATAATCTGCCCCGGCCATTCGATCTCTATAATGCCCAACTTTCTGCAAATGCGCAGAATTCAAACCAGAACCCGGAAGACGGGACGTCAAATACACACATCTTCACTGGGAAATTACCGTTCTCGGCAGATGGTAAAATCTGGATGATATCCGAGATCCAGGATCCGCAATTGAAACAAGCATTGTATCCACCGCCTGAAAAATCGGTCGGATTTCTACGGGAGGAGTGTGAGATAGTTGCAGATGGGTGGTATGGGAACGGGACGTTGGGGAAGGCGAAGACTGTGATGAGGCACAAGATCCAGGCGTTGATGGAGGGTCGGGAGGCTGACGATAGCGAGTTTTGGAAGGTTATGGAGTTGCCGGATCATGCGCGGTCTGAGGCTGATTTTGAGAAGTTTACGTTTGATGGGGATGTTAGTAGTCGGGAGATGCAGCTTGCTACTGAGGTTCGGTCTGCGATTCGAGGTTCGCCTATTTGGAATCGGTTGGAGGGGAGTGGAAATGGAGGCAGGGGGAAGGGCAAGGGGAAAGGGAAAGAAAGAAAGAAGGGGAAGGATTTGGATGAGGGACCCGAGAAGGGGAAGGGGAAAGGGAAGCCCGGGAAGGCTGGGAAAGGGAAGAAGGGCAAGGAGGTTGCGTTTGAGGAGCCTGATGCTGAAGAGCAGATTGATGAGCCTAGTGAAGGTGAGGAGGAAGAGATTCAGCGGCGAGAGATGCTGGCTGAGCAGGTTGCTGCTGCTGCCGAGGCGAGGGATGCAGATCAAGATGACGATGAGAGTGATAACTCAGATGAAGAGGGGAGTGATTGAATCTACAGGCTTACTTTATCTTACTTGCATAGCCGAGATGGAGACAGAGAATACTCATTGCAATAACCTCATTTCAATCATTTGCTCGGGGGCATAGCGGACGCAGACCACTGTGTACATCATAAAACATGAACGTCAACATAAGCATCAGCATAGACATCAGACATGACAAGACAGAAACTCATTAATTAGACGGGGATAGTAAACGAAGGTTAGCCCGTGGACACAATAGTGCAGCAAGGGGTACATGATTCGTAACAAACATGATAAAAGCAAAAGAAAGACAACAGACCAAACAGAATAGCCACATATATCAACGCCAAACAATCAAACAAATTGGTATTGGGGCCAACCAGGCCAAAGACATGAGACACCGAACCCAAATGCATATGCGAGTAGTTTTGAGGATGCTCCATCATGACGAGGGAGCTGTGTTTTCACTATCAGCACTCTGGGATTCAGTCTCAGCAGTGGCAGCAGACTTGGCAGTAACAGCCTCCAGGACCGAAGCAATGGAAGTAGAGATGAGAGCTTCCTGGCTCTGAGCAAGAGGCGAAGAGGGCTTCTTGAACTCAGACACGGTATCCTCGTGGACAACCACATAAGAAAAGGCATTGCAGTCCTCAGCATAAAAGTCGGCAGCGTTGAGCTCTCCGAGTGGGGCGCGGTCCTCCTCCATCTTCGATTCCTTGCGGGAGGCAGGCACAGCAGTAGCAGCGGCAGTAACAGGAGAGCCGAGGAGCTCAATTCCAAGCTCGACAGGAGGAATATTCTCCTTTCCACGGTCATCACTGGGGACAGACTTGCCCTCGTCATCGCTTATATCAAGAACAGTAGTAGAGTGCTGCATGAGGTTGGTCATCTCTTCCTGCTCCGAGTCAACGTGGATATCAAAGAACCACGAGTTAGGAGCCTTAGGCGCAGGCTTGGGAGATGATGATGCCTGGAGAGCGGATGCGAGCGAGAAAGGACGCGCAACAGCGCGCTTTCCGGACGATTCAGAGCGTGGCTTGGAGATAGCCGAGCGGCGGCCGGGCTTGCTGGACTTTGGTGGTGGGGAGCGACCAGCAGGCTTGAGGATTGGTGCGGACTTTGGGGTTGAGATCGTTTGGGAAGTTCTCAAGGGGGTCGAGAGACGCGGGGAGATGTGGGTGGAAAGAGCCATGCGTGAGGTCTTGGGCTTGGAAGCCTTGGGTTCTTCGTCGTCGCACGTGCGCTTGCGCTTTGCGGAGAGTTTGGAGGGGTCAATGTTCTCTGAGTCAACGAAGATGGTGTTGGATTTCATAGACTTGGGACCTGGTGTCACGGTTAGGCGATCCTGGAAACAGCTAATCTTGGGTCGAACTTACCAGCGTTGCTTTGACGGTTCAACTTTGACATCAGAGGACGCATCGTGTCGATGCAGCCTAAGGGCTGGCGTGTGGGAGTCATGGTGAGAGTGGCCATGGTGAGAGAGAGAGAGAGACCGGGTTTGTTTTGGTCAAGTGGGGTTCACGCTAGTAAACAGAGAGATCGAGGTCAAGTTATAGCGATATAGTTGATATAGACGATATAATAGAGTAGGAAATCAAATGATGGTATATGGTCGGATCACAGTTAATAAAAGAGAGGAAAGGATCTAGAGTCCAGTACACCGCACTATGATCGAATGTCTTGGATGCGAGGAAGAGGCTGTAGTTATACTTGAGACTTGCAGGTTTAGGTTGAGAGGAGGCAAGGAGAATTATAATGAGGGATCACAAATGGAGGGCGGACGGACTATTTCAAGGCCTGCATAGCATCCAGCGCGTCGCGTCAGTATGTAAGGTATCTTCGGAGATGCCAAGTTCAGGTGTGGCGGTTACTCCATACTTAAGTACAATGCAATTATTCGCGGGATGTATATGAGGATACGCGCTTTATTCCTTCCTCCATATCTATAGCATAGTCCTTCATTCATAAAATCTAATAGTCTGTACTAATTAATTATCTATAACTTATAGAACCACTTCACGAAGCAAAACCAGTCCTGTAAGTCGCGTCCATCCCTAGAACGCGTCCAAAGTACCCGATACTCGGCATCCCGCCCCATCAGTACTATCCGCGTAAGTATCCAATACCTCCACGCGACACGAAACCGCGACTTCGTGACGAACAGCGCTAAAAGATGAAGTGACTGAAACTTTGCCAGCGCATCCATCTCGATTGGCTGCCACTCCTCACGACTCAGCCGTAATGAAACTCATGCATGCACTGCACGAGGGGGCTATGGAGGTTTGAGGCAACGGTGGAGCTGTAACATGCGGTCTGCAGGTAGACCCAGACGTCGACTTAGAGACATAGCTGGAGGCGAAGGTGCCTGGGGATGTTTCGCGTGCTAGGCTGGGGTGTCAGGCTGGGGAATGTTGAAGGCGTTTCATATCTAGGGCATTCATCCCTTGGAGGTCGATCGTGGAGAATGGGCTATTAATAGGGAGGGTATGCACCTACTGTATGCCTTCACCCCCTCTTCGTGGGCTGGATCAGGGCTGGATATTCCCCCTCGTACATTCATCCTTGTTGCATTCCTGGAAATGAAGGATGGTGAGCCTATCCTTTCCGCCATAGACGTGTTCGTGCATTAGCATCGGCATTGTTCCACTAGGTACATATACAGTGGTTGATCTAGTCTATCTCGATATAATGTACATTTGTCAATGACATCAGATCTCATCCTCAAACGGAATGCTATCCATGGCACCTTGACGCTCCACTGCTCGAGCCGAGGCCTGCGCAGCCAGGCGCATCGCCTCGTCCATCACCGTCTTATACCGGTATGCCTTCTCGTCATCGGCCACATCCTGTCCGGCCTTGCCCGCCCCGCGACGCTGCTCGCGCCACCGCGCAACCTTGACAGCATACCCTCCGACAAAGGTATCCCCGGCGGCAGTTGTATCCAAGACCCGAGACACAGGCGCAGCAGGAATCTCATTCGTGAAGCGCTGCACACCGTCACTAGGTCCTGAAGACCCACCATCCGTGGCACTGTACCAAACACCCTTAGCCCCAAGTGTGATAAGAACATAGGTAACGCCGAGCTTGTGGAAGTACCGCGCAACCTTCTCCTTTCCACCGAGACCCTTGGCATCAGGAACGACGCTCAGCAATTGCTCCGCAGGCGGCGACATAAGCTCAGCCTCAGTCTCATTCAAGATCAAATGATCCACAGCGGCATAAACATCCTCAGGCAAACCACCCGGCGGCGCGGGAGCCGGGTTCAGCATAACATCAGGACCACACTCGATGCCGCGCTTCCCAGCAGCACGGTTCTTAGCTTTGAACGCGGCAATCTCCCGTAACGTCCCAATAACAGTATCAATAGGAATCTCGCCCTGCATGACAATCACATCCGGCATAGGCGCCGCAAGTGCCATACACAGTACCTCTGGTGTAGGTTGCATACCATCATAGTTTGCACCAGGTGAAAAGAGGATGCGGTTCTCGCCGCCAGCCGACGAATCAACAATGATAACTGCAACGCCGGTGTATGCGTTCTCGACAATCTTCACTCTAGACGGGTCGACGCCGGATCTTTCAAGTGTTGGCTTGAGGAGTGCGGAGAAGTGACCGTCTAGTGCGCCGACTGCGCCCATCATCTCGACTTGGACGTCGCTTGTGGAGGGTGCGGGGCCGGTCGGTTTGGCTCTGGACAGGCGGCCACAGGCGACGGCTTGGTTGGCGCCTTTGCCGCCTGCGCTTGTGAAGTAGGATGAGGATGTTATTGTTTCGCCTGGGTTTGGGAAGCGCGGGGTCACTGAGACCATGTCGGCGTTTAGGGAGCCGATTACTCGGATGAGAGGTGCCATGGCTGTGCTCGTGGGAGATCTTGGTGGGTGGTATTCAATTCAGGGTGGAAGTGAAGAAAATGAGCCTGATATTGGAGATCACCGTAAGCTCAATTGTTAATGGCGGAGTAGAGAGGCTTGAAGATGTTCGCAGGTTAGGTGAAGATTGGAATGACGTCGGGTACGTTGTGGGGCGGACCCACTGCAGCCTCATGTAGATGTATACTCCAACATATGCAGAGTAAGGAGTATTAGGGAGTAGGATACTGGTAGAAGTCTTCATAGGGGAGGAAAAATCTCTTTCCCTTCGTCTTTATCCATAGAAACTTGACTCTAATTCTCAGCTGATCTGCTATCACGTGACCTATCCAATTCATTTGGGCCTACATCAACCCGTTAAGCAGTTCCCTTTCAATACTCCTGCCCAAACAACTCAATCCGCAAACCAAATCTTGGAATCACATGCCCTTGGACTCATATCAACGTGAACTCGACTGGTTTTCGATTTAGAGGGTGGGAGATATTGCGGTGTCTTTTGGTTTTCTCTTTTTAGTCTTCTCTTTTATATTCCATACCACAACCTCTGATCTTGAAACTGACAAAGATTCTTTTGTTCCCGACCTCATCTTGTCTGAAGTCCCGTCTATGAAAATATGGACAGCTCTATTGATTCTCGTCTATCATTTCCACCAATGGGTTTGTCGTTCAACACCAGCCATCCACGGTCTCAAGCTTTAAGATCTGAAACAGCTAACCCCTTCTTGATATCGCGCTCTTATCAACGAAGAAATTACCATAGCTTGCCTCTGGGACCAAACGTTGAACGTTTGGCTACAGCCTTCAAGACAAGGTGGTCACGAGCTACATACCTAGGCTAGCCGGATGAGGCAGTCCACGAGAACTTTGATGGCTCTGGCAAACAAAAGCTTCGAAAAAGGCTTACCTGACGACGAATAAGATGTCGAATTGATCAAGATCGACAATAACACCGCGCTCGGGTTAACGGAGAACTAGATCGCGGACATGCCATTTACCGAGACGGTGAACACAGAGACAAATGACAGCGTTATCGGAGCCAGCTGCGTTGGTTAACAAGCTGCGCATTCTAGGCCTGATTCACCTATCTAGAGGACGGACGAAATCCACATTCTATATGGCGTCAGCTGGTGTGTTGACCCAACGATGCAACACAAGAGGCTCCGCAAGACCATTGAAGCATGCACTCTTGTTTTGTGTGGTAGCATACAACGAGGGTCAGGGATGTGTAAGAAATGCCACCTGCGAACTGTCTGCAGACTCCACATGAGACGCGCACCTCAATGCGAGTATATCGTCTCATGCATGATTTCTTTCTACGTTTGCTTCTCTTCTTACAACTTACAGTCTTCATAATAGCTATTCAAAAATTGAGAAGACTCCACTGTGGTTCAATGCTTATGCCAACATATCTCTGTATTCTGTGAGTACGGCTCAATCAGTCCGAAGTCTGCTATTATGGCCCGGTCGAATTGCACAAAGCCCAAGTGGGATATAGAGTGGTATACTGTGTCGGGTTCATGTCAATGTGAGGCTACGAAGGTACTAACATAAGGATAACATTAGACATTCCCATTACCAACTGATTCATATCTCTTTGACGTCTGCCTGAAGGCCACATACAATACCCAAATTCCCAACTCACTCGCCAAGAACATGTCGACCCCAGCAGGTCATAAGGCTAGCCCTGTTCAGCCACCCAAAGCTACTGGCTGTCAAAAATCCCTACTGCCAAGAAATGACAACATAAGGCTGCATCTCCGAACATCCTTGGCGTGCCACCAGCCCCGGTCAACTACAGTGCTCCTCCCTAGGCACCAGCATTTCCCAATCCTTCCAACGTCAATTGGCATGTTGCAACTTGGGTCCTGTGGCTGTTCCCCAACTTCAGCCTTTCATGCCACAAGACTCATGCATGCTTGGCTTGCATACACAGTGCAACATCACGAGATGCCATTTACTATCCTGTGGCTGGCTTTGCGGGAAACCATGCCATGCGCCACGATAACGGCACCCTCTATTAAGGACATATTGTCTTCTTTGCTCTGAATTTCTGGGCAATATGTTAATGTGGGTATTTACACTTAGTCCGGTCCACTCATTGTGAGGTGTACTGCATGGTGTCGTCTTGTCAATCTCCACTCCCGTACATACTAGACCAAGGGCGTCTTTTTTGTCTTGCGAACATCTTCCTATGTGTAGAGTATCCCCGCACCGCCAATGCCTGTACGCCGAAGAAATGTCCCGCCTATCTCAGCTGCAATGGCATCGTTACAGACTGCCGCTAGCAAATGATTCTGGGCCAAGTGTTGGACAAGAACCGGGGCAGGCCTGCTGCACGATCACGAGTCTAGGGTAGGTTCGGGGTCGGGGTTTATTGTATCCTGTCGGGCCGGGGTATATAAAGAGGGTCTATCTCCCCGTTTCCGTTTCTATTTTCCTGAGCTCTATGATCCAGAGCCTTTACACTTTACTTTGCATTCTTCTCTCCCAAATTGACAATATGAGTTTCCACGAATCTGCCACTCACATTGAGCTTGAGGATGGTCATATCCTCAAGGCTGTCCTGCGTAACGGAGAAGGCGATGAGCAGGAGTCTATTCTGGACCTGAATAGTATCATTGGGAACAATGATGGTAAGCAGCCATCTGCTTCGGTCCCGTCTCGCTCTGAGGGCTATCACAATTACTGACAACTCATTTTAGGACAATTTTACTGGGGGGCGAGAACTTCCACGAAAGCGCCTCCGACATCAGCTTCGAGCGAGAAGGAGACCCTGAGATCCCCGTTCTTCGGGCGGTCTTGGGCAACGTTGAGGGAGAGGGCCAGGATGCGGATATCAACCTCGCGGAGCGTATCACAAACATCAACGGAGAATTGGTCTTTGAATAGGTGATACTTATGGTCTGGGCTTTACTCTTTATGGCTTTTCAATAGCAAGCAACGGAATACAACGATATCATGTGATATTCTTGCAAATCAAACGAAGATATATACCAGTCACGTGTCGGGTCTGAACCATACACTTGTTGTCTGTAGATCGTTAACTTACACCTCAACCATGGACGGGTACCCGAACAAGCAATATGGTGAGGTCTAATGTCAGTCTGTAATATGCCTCAGACGAGCTAGAACCAAGCCAAAACAAGTCAAACAAGGGCGGTGGCCCCTCTAGGGGACTGAAAATTCGCGATGTTAGTAGGAAATTGGTCTCGAAATCACTGCTTAGGCTGGAATAGATATACCTCTTCTTTTGCCAAACAAAGCAACACGGATAACGACTGTACTGGAATGATGGAACAATCCTCACAAACTGGTAGGCATGGGCCTTTGGTGCAAGAAGGTCTAACGCTTACAATATCTCTCTAGGTTGCCATCTAGATTTGGATCCTGAAGTATTATGGACGGAGCTCCTAGATGTGCCTAGGCTGCCTGTCCTTTCTGCTGGCTATGAGTGCATTTGTCTAGATCATATGTATGGTAGAATGGAATGGATAAATGGCTTCGGTCCAGCAAATGTCACAAAAAGGAAAGAATAAGGAATAGCGAGTATATTGTAGAATCGTGAATGAAAAATACCTCGATGCGAAGAGCTGCATGGCCGTCTACATCATGTGTAATTCCGAAACACATGGTGGCAACGAATGACCGGGAAACCGAAGATCTTGATTTTGCGGGAGTGAGAAGAGACCTAGATCTCGCTTCGATGACTTGCCCGGGGAACCTAAATGACCACCTTTAAACAATGTGTAATTCAAATCACAGACGCAGAGTGGGATGCACTTCGAATGCGGCCATCCTTGGGCAGGGATTATGAGTGATATATGGAGCTAAGCCCTAAAGTGGCACAAAATTGCCTCGCCAATGTTGAAAGTCTCTTTGGCAATGATCCAGGATCATGGATTCAGAAGTTGGACGAAAGCCAGCTGGTGGTTGGCAGACCTATGACCAATAGACAGAGCGTATTGGATCCAGTAGATGTACGTGGGAAATTTCGAAGGGTTCGAGAAACAATCGAAGAGTGCAGGCGGAGAATTGATGTTCCCATATGGCTGCAGTTACGATCCAATAACTCGATCGCTAGTTAGAGTTTGTGGCGTTTCCAGCCTATGGTAATACGCGAAGTTGGAGTTCTAGAATTCTAGAACCCTTCCCTTAACCAGTTTACCAACACAATCGGAACGAAGTCGATAGGACGCTAGCTCACTCTGAACTCAATATCTCCTGGAAGCTGCTATCCCTGAATATTGCCATAGTCTCGGAAGAGAGAAGTCGAATTATATTTTCGATCATGCACCCTTCTGCTCTTTTCTCTCTATCATTAGGTGTTTGTTCTCGAAAGCAGCCGTATATGGGTTATTCACGAATTTACCTAGCTGTTGGTGAATTTTGCGCCCCAAAGCTTCTTCAAGGTAGTCATGGGAGTGTATGACGTCTATATATTTGTGCACAACCCTACCTTGGACTTGTGTGGAGAATCTTAGGAGAACCTAACAATAAGCTTTCGCCTGTCTCTGTCTACCCCAGATTTTGAATTTAGCCACGCTTTTTGGTTCATGGTACAGAAGGGCAAGCGGCCGGTTAAGCGAATGACAATTCTCCAGATTCTCCCTTACCTGGTCGCCACCACGTGCACTTCTCACCCTCGTGGCAGGTGGTGTAGAAATTCATTAACAAGAGCAGATGTCCTATAAGGCTGGCTGAATTCGCGTTGCGAGCGGATCAAACAGTTAGACCCCTATGGCGTTGACCGACGAACAACTTCATGCCATCTCAATAGCAGAAAGAGTAGGAGGTAGCTCTTCCCTGTTGGGCTGTGCGTTTATTATAACGACATATAGCGCTTCGACCATTTTTCGCAAGCCAGTCAACAGGTTGATCTTTTATGCGTCTTTTGGGAATGCTTTTTCCGCCGTTGCATCACTGATGAGCAGAGATGGAGTTATAGAGGGTCCGGAATCTGCCTTATGTCTCGCACAATCATTCTTCATCCAATAGTACGTTGCCCACACTCTATATCAAAATTGCAGACTCTAATTATTGTCACTGAAGTTGGATGCCAACGGACTCGCTATGGTCCTTTTGTATGGCGATCAACATATATCTTACCTTTTACCGGAGACACTCAGCTGAAGATCTTAAGAAGCTTGAGAAGTGGTACTTTCTTCTATGCTACGGCTTACCACTAATACTCGCGACGGCACTGAGCCTTATAAAGACTACTGAAAGAGGAAGGGTCTATGGGCCAGCCTTGGTATGTACTACTCGAACGCCTTGCGGACTATTTATGGCATAAAACTAACTTCCCATTAGATTTGGTGCTCAATTAGTCAACAGTGGCAATTTCTTCGTTTAGTGTGTTTCTATGGTCCAGTGTGGTAGGGTCATACAATACCGTCTCGCAACAACGGATCTAATTTCTTTTTTATAGGGTGGTGAGCATCGCAACTTTTGCGATCTATGCCATAGCCGGTGTCCGCATCTATCGAAAAACCAAGGCTTTAAAAGCAGCCAAAGACATAATGCCTACCAGCAGAACGGTTGGCATTACTCGATCTGTCACTTTTAATGTAACGGCTGGAGCAGCGAAAGTCCTATCTTTTGAGCCAGCCACGCCATATTCAACCTGCATAGAATCGCAGCATTCCCAACCTGGAAGTGGGCTGAGCAACCAGGTTAGCAAGAATAACGCGATGTGGAGCTATTTGAGATACTCCTTCATCTTCTTCATAGCCATGGTTGCTACCTGGGTACGGATATACTCTTCAAATTTTTTCCCCATATACGACCCTCTCTCACAAGCCATTGCTAACGAGCTTCCCAGTTACCATCATTTGTTAACCGAGTTTACAGTCTAGTCAATCCCAGCAAACCAAATTTCGGCTTGAACTTGACTGGAGCGTTTGTCCTATCTCTGCAGGGATTTTGGAACGCCATTATCTACACATCAACCACGTTCCCAATATTAAAAGCCAAGTGGGCTTCCATCCTCAAATCCCTCAAATCCTTTTCGCCTCCGAGGTCGACTAGAAGAGTCACCCGAAGAGAGTCTGCCGACATCTCGCTCGAGGGCGCGGGATTTGATGGAAGGTCTAATGCAGGCAGTACATCCTCTTTGGCGATCCGGCCACCAGTTGAGACTTCTATGGCTGTATCTTCCAATGTGTAAATAAACCAATCTCTGGCTGTTATAGGCTTATATGCGGAGTCTACAGCAGTCACAATGTTATTATAGAAGGTCATTTTTCAATATATACTTACAGCTCTCCAGCTTGCCCATGGTCATTGCAATGACGCCGAACCAATAATCTGTGCAGATACGAATAATGCAGTAGTATCAGCGTGAAGGATTTGTTTAAAATATCCAAGAGCCCAGTCTCGAAGGTCACCAATCTGTGGCAGAGATAATTAGTCGACCAATATACCAAAAATTCACGGTTGAGCGATGAATCTGGTTGATTCGTTTCTACTTAAAAACCTAAACGATGACTGGTTCAGCAAAGATGTGTTATAGGGTGCTAACTGGTCACAGCAGGTAACGAAGGTATATAATACCTAGCCGGGATTGTAACGGGCAATGTACGTCAGTCCTCAAGCCTAGACTGGGAAACGTGCAGTCTCCTACTCCGCTAGGCTTTCTACGGCTCCGACCTCGTGTGCTTACCATTGCTTGCTTCTTTTGTGTCTAAGAAATCCTTGATTGACCCAGATCCGGATTTGGAAAATAACCATTGAACAGCTCATCATATATCGCGAGCTCAATTTTACAAATTGTCAAGTTTCACTCACCATTACAGCACAATGGGATACTTTGTATGTCTGAGATTCGACAAAATATTCAGGGAACTGCACTACCTGCGTATGTGCATCTAGCTTCCCATTGCCCACAGAAGGCACAACCGGTCCTCTTCCGAGAATTGAGTATGAAACTGCAACTTGCGATTTTCATGATTTACTATTGGGCGATACGTGATACAAATGTGCACAGCTACGTAACCGAGGCACGTAATTCTGATCAATCCTTCTTCCCCATGCATGATCTTCCTATAGTATCTTTCTCCAAAGCACTAACTTCAACAAGAGAGATAGGTGTATATACAGTGCCACTCGTGAAGTATTGGACAGACTCTATATGAACCTGACCTCAAAAGTAAGTATACCACGATTTTCATCTATCGTCTACTTCGAGCTCTCTTTTTTCACGTCTCTTTTGCCCTTTTTCGAGGCCCACGATCACCTTACAACATAAAATCAAGCTACAAGAAATGAAGTATAGATCGTATATCATTGATGTTCATATATGCAACAGCGGTCATCTAGACCCAACCATCCACAAAACTCCAAACAAGTATGATACTAATTATACAGGAGACCCAGCTCCATCAGAGAACATGACAAAACATGATCGATTGAAACCCCTCAGTGATCGGGAAGGGAGCCAAGACCCTTTTTCTCGCCAAGGGTCTTAGGCTCGTGGCCACCCTTGCCGCTGCCGGGGGTGTTCTCGTAGCCGCCGCTGCCTTGGCCGGGGAAGACGTCAGGGAGGCCGGAGCCGGTCTGGTCAGGCATGGGGGCGGCCTTGTGGGAGCGGCTTAGGTCGGCGGACTGGGGCATTTGTTAGAATTGAATTATATTTTGGGAAAGAAACCGGGTTGAACATACCTCATTGCCGGTGCCGTGGACCTTGTCGGGGCCGTTCTCAATGGGGTTGTCGCTCTGGGGCAGACCGTTGTCGTACTCAGCGCCGCGAACCATTTTGATTGATTTTAAGTAGGAAGGAGGAATTGAATGACTTTAGAGTATTGTAGTGGATTGGATTTGGAGGAGAGGAGACTTCTGAGATTGCATCTACTTATACTTACTCGATGCTTGGCACAGGGTTTAGCGTGACAGCATCGTGAAATCATAGTGGGGAGCCATGACTTCATGTCGTTGGAACATCGCGATCTTGTACATTTTGCCTTGGAACCGGGTCTTTGGAACACGGAAGATAATATTGGAATAATATTAGATCAAAATTAATTAGAAGTTATTAGAAATTTCGTCGTTTAGAAATTGAAATTGAGAGCAACGCTCGAAACCCATATACAGTACTGCGCTGACCAGCAGCGCAAGATGAAAATCAAACTTCCATACCAAATAATCATCAAAGAAAAAGGGAATTGTAAGTCCTCCAAATAGAATATGACAATCTGTTCCTTTTATCGCATTTTTTTAGTGAGTTTGCGGGTTTGTGTATACGAAGTATCCTTGCAATGAAGACATCGGAGAACAGTAAAGGTATCCAATAAAAATGTCCCATATCTCTACCTGCGGGATTACCACTAGGCCTTCAGAACAAACGTCATTTGCACGGAGCGATTCAGGTACGCCCGCTGTAAGCCTCGGCGGCACGACGCGATGTGGGGAGTCTTGAACAACCTGCTTTGGTGTTGCGTTTCTATGCATGTTTCACAGAGCCGCGGTGGCAATAAGCTGTCGTAGAGCTTCTTGGGGCTCTGGGGTCTTGTTATCGGCAAGTTGCGAGCTGAGGCATCTGGCATACCTCGCCACGGTGCCCTGATTGAGTTCGCGTCTGGCAAAGTTGCCTTCAGCTTGCCTGATGGTATATGATCCCTCTAGTGGGTATCTTTGAAGTGTCTGGGGTCTTGTTTGGTGTTCTCTACAGTCTTCTCGGTAGGATACCGGGCGACTGGTCTGTTGTTGGGGACTGTTCCTCGTTGCAGACCCAGAAGAAGTTGGAGAATGGACTGGCTTGCGTGTTATTTTCATCGGTAAAACAGGCATTTGGGGGGTTCTGTCCGGCAGTGCGCCATTTCGCATTTTGTCTAGGACATCCCGTGGGATGAATTGGGCATTTACCTCTCTCCGGTTCCGGTTTGGGTTCTTAGTATGCAGCGGGTAAACTGAGCTATTCGGGACTATGTTGGCGGGCTTACTCTGCCAGTCTGTTGAGCTGCTGCCGTACTGGATCTGCGAATAGTGTGAGTATGAAGAATACCCAGGGTGATACATGTCCCGGGGGTCATCGCTGGTTGGTGACCGGTGTGCAGCCTTTTGGGCCTCAGAATACCCCCAGAGTGAGATAAGGCACGGTTGAGGCTCTGAATATGGTGAAGATTCAATATACTCTTCGCTATCATCGGAGTCAACAGGCAAGAGCCATGGTGCGTCTTCATGTTCGCTAAAATGATCACCCAGAGAGTAAGGAGCTGGATGACACTCAATAGGCCACTCAGTCCGAACCGGCTTCTCGTCCTCAGTATTGCTCGATGACGAGCTTTCTCGACTTTCCATGCGTGCCCGGTAGGACAGGGGGTCATGTCCCGTCTTGTGAATGTTCAAAGGTAGAGGCACCAAGTTCTCGAGGTTCTGATCATTGATAGAATTTGTCGAGGTAGCATGGTCACGTTTGCGGTTCAAGTGAGATACATGGGAGAGATGAGGGACTTCCGGATGCTTTGACATAGGAAAACGGGGTTTTGAACGTGAGGTTTTCTCGGCATGAGCCGATACACTAGCCAAGGCCGTGGTATCCTGGTCATGTTTGTCATTCCAGTGCGAGAAATGTGAGGGAGGAAGCCTTTTCATAAGATTTGCCATTGTAGGAACAGCTATAGGTGTGCTCGAACGGGGGTTCCTCTCAGTTTGAGTCGATATGTCAGTCATAGTGGTGGTCCTACCAAAACGTTTACCCTTCACGTGAGATGAACGCGAGAGACTAGGTGTGCCCAAACGCTTGTCCAACGGGGAATTTGTGGAAGGGGTCTCTGTACGTGGGATACCTTTAGACACATCAAAGATCTTGGCTGCCTGGGGATGCTTGCCCTTAGAGTGAGATGAACGTGAGGAACTGCGTGTATTCTGGCGCTCTTCTACAGTGGGAGCAGCGGACCGGAGTTTCGAATGTGAAGTGCTCTCATTTTGACCCGACCCACCAGCCAAGGGCTTGCTTCTCTGGCGATCGCGGGCTGTGTCTGCTCTGGGGGTACTTCCAAATGTCCTACCACTGTGGAAGCCGTGTACAACGTAGTCGGCCGTACGTTCTGCTTGGAAGAAATAGAAGAAGGTGGTGAGCTTGGGATGCACATGATAGACACAAGCTGGGAAGCGTCCGGAGCCATGTGCGCAGATCCGGTGGTTGCAGAAGCAATAGAATTGGTGTTCCAATTCTTGGGAAAGACTCTTTTGAACGAAAGTTCGCGCTGCGGCGTTGAAAATGTGTTATCTCCCGATAATGATGAACCAGGCCGGTCTTTGAAGTATACATCGGGGTGGGTAGAGGCAGGGGTGGCAGACTGAATGTCCACACAGCTTGCTCCCACTGGCTTGAACTCAGCGATAACAGCTACCCCAAGGATCCCATCTTCACTAGGTTCCGATGGATCTGGGTTCATCACTCTGGATACACGAGACTCATCAGACTCTTCGTATTGTACGGTGTCAGTATTGAACCTGGTAGGATTCTCCCCCAGGCTCCCAGTCTCTGGAGATACGGGAACGTTGATATCTACCGAAATGAATGTAGGATAAACCCTGTCCTCAGGTACACGTTTGCGAAATCGCTTTGCTCTTCTTTTGGGGCCAATACGCGTCTTGTTAGCTGCTAAAGCTTGGCGAATCCTTCTCTTCATCTGCCGCCGAATGTTAAATCGATGGATTCGACCTTGTACATTGAGGATGAGTATGCCGAGACGGTCAAGGACCCAACAGCCCAATCGATCCCTGGACAGCCATCGCTCGCCAGTGAGCTCTCTCCGCTGACTGGGTCTTGCCATGAATCAACTTGAAGCGTAGTGAAGAAGTTCGAAAGTGAATATAACATTGCTAAAAGTGATGCAGGTAGCAATAGATTGTCTGACCTCGGGAGACCATAGAGCTTTATATAAGTAAGATAAAGAACTGAACGAAAGTGACGGGAGACGCGGCACAATATTATCCTCTGAAGCAATTAGTTGTTTTAATAACAATGGGAGTAACGGTCCATCGAGCAGTTTGAGTGCTTTGTTTGGACTTGGTTATCAATGGCCTTTGATGTGTTGTATGAGTCAAGTGTAGGGGCATCATGAGACGGTTTGCTCGCATGAAAGAGAATAGATTTTCTCTCATCCAATCAGGTCAAACTGAGGGTATACGCCGTGGACAAGGCCGAGAGATGTACATACTTAAACACCTCACAGTCCCTACCTTATGAGGTCGCAGGGGTCTCTGGCAGGAAGTTCGCTGAGTCAATTGAGACCATTGAGATCATTGAGTTCGCTGCGAGACATGCCAAGAAGATCCACCAAGTATGGGTGCATCCTCTTGCATTCTCTTGCAGTTTCGTGCATGTCCTCCATGTAGTGTAGAATGAGGCCAAGTCCTGTTTGACCAGTGGAACTTGCCATTGTCAGCCTGATGTCATTGGTCTTCCCCATATCAATCAAAGCAATTGGATCACAAGGATGTAGATCTGGAGGCAAAATACTGTACATGTACGTACATGTATGTAGGGATGTAAGTTAAATCAGAGGTAGAAACCGGAAGGATGTAAAGGAGAGGACCGGGGGCGGGATGGCAAGCGGCCCGATCACACTCTACGCCGTACCCGGGATAGTTCAGACGTTACATCCAGGTCCAGATCCAGGTCCAGGTACTTCTTGACAGAAATTTCTGTTTCCTACTTTCGCCTCTTCTCACCTTTTTTTAGTCTCAACACTTTTGCAGGATTGACCGGGGGCTATATTAGGGAGCGCCATTCCCTTCTGAGGGGAACACCGCAGCTACCAGCCCGGAGAACAACTCGACGCTACACGATCCGGGTTCTTTTCTCTTCTCTGAGTGTCTGTCTGTCTTTGTATCTTCATCTTCATCTTCATCTTCATCCCATCTCCATACTACAAGTGTATCTCATTGACCTCACCCCAGACCCCGAGCTTCTCCCCCGGAACTCCACTTTCTCCGCACAGACCGAGTGCAGCTCTTCCAAGGTTCAGAGAGACCTTGTCCCGCCCCTCTGCAGGTTTTCTCTTTTTCTTTCATTTTCCCTCATCTCAACACAATGGAGGAGAACGGTGAATCCATCAAGCGCGATGTGCGCAATCATATGCTGTTCGAGGTGGCCACCGAGGTGGCCAACCGTGTGGGCGGGATCTACTCGGTCTTGAAGTCCAAAGCTCCCGTCACTACGGCGGAATACGGCGAGCGGTACACTTTGATCGGCCCCCTCAACAAGGCTTCGGCCGCTGTGGAGGTGGAAGAGCTCACCCCGTCCAACCCAGCTATGCGAGAGACCATTCAGTCCATGAAGGACCGCGGCATTGAGATAATCTACGGTCGCTGGCTCATTGAGGGTGCGCCTCGGGTGCTCCTCATTAACACCGGGACGGGTTACAGGTGGTTGGACGAGTGGAAAGGTGATCTTTGGACTAACTCTGCCATCCCGTCCCCCGCCGCCGATAACGAGACCAACGAGGCCATCGTTTTTGGATATTTGGTCGCTTGGTTCTTGGGAGAGGTACGTCACACTCTGACCCAGCGCAAGATGAGCAACACTGACCATCTTCCCCACTTTAGTACATTGCCCATGATCGTCGCCGCGCGGTGGTCGCTCATTTCCATGAATGGTTGGCAGGTGTGGCGCTGCCACTGACGAAGAAGCGGCACATGGACCTTACCACCATCTTCACTACGCACGCCACATTGCTGGGTCGTTATCTTTGTGCTGGTTCAGTTGACTTCTACAACAACCTCCAGTACTTCGACGTGGATGCGGAGGCCGGGAAGCGGGGAATCTACCACCGCTACTGCATTGAGCGCGCAGCCACTCATAGCTGTGACGTCTTTACCACCGTATCGCACATTACCGCATTCGAGAGCGAACATCTGCTGAAGCGGAAGCCTGACGGGGTGTTGCCCAATGGCCTCAACGTGAAGAAGTTCTCTGCTATGCACGAGTTCCAGAACCTGCACTCGCAGGCCAAGGAGAAGATTAATGACTTTGTTCGGGGTCACTTCTATGGCCACAATGACTTTGATCTCGATAACACCCTTTACCTCTTCACCGCCGGTCGGTATGAGTTCCGTAATAAGGGTGTCGATATGTTCATCGAGGGCCTGGCTCGTCTGAACCATCGCCTGAAGGCCGCCGGGTCGACCATGACAGTCGTCGCATTCATTATTATGCCTGCCCAGACCTCCTCCTTGACCGTGGAGTCCCTCAAGGGACAGGCCGTTGTCAAGTCTCTGCGCGACACCATCGAGAACATTGAAAAAGGCATCGGCAAGCGCATGTACGAGCGCTGTCTTTCTTGGAAGGAAGGCGACAAATTGCCCGACGAGAAGGACCTGATCACCAGTCAGGACCGCGTCATGCTCCGCCGCCGTCTGTTCGCCATGAAGCGCCATGGCCTGCCCCCAATTGTCACCCACAACATGCACAATGATCACGAGGACCCCATCCTGAACCAGCTTCGCCGAGTCCAGCTGTTCAACCAAGCCTCCGACCGGGTCAAGATTGTCTTCCACCCCGAATTCCTGAACTCAGCCAACCCCGTTCTCCCGCTGGACTATGATGACTTTGTGCGCGGAACCCACCTGGGGGTCTTCCCCTCCTACTATGAGCCTTGGGGATACACTCCCGCCGAATGCACCGTGATGGGCGTTCCCAGTATCACCACTAACCTCTCCGGCTTTGGTTGTTACATGGAGGAATTGATTGAGAACTCCTCCGATTACGGAATCTACATTGTGGACCGTCGCTCCAAGGGAGTGGATGACTCGGTCAACCAGCTGACCGAGTTCATGTTCAACTTCACGGAGAAGAGTCGTCGTCAACGTATCAACCAGCGTAACAGAACAGAACGTCTGAGCGACCTGCTTGACTGGAAACGCATGGGCTTGGAGTATGTCAAGGCTCGCCAGCTCGCCCTGAGAAGAGGTATGGACTCTCCCCGTATTGACTCGAGCTATGACTAACTGGAGAACAGCTTACCCGTCCTCCTTCGAGGGCCAAGAGGATTACTTTGACATCATTGGAGGAACTGACCAGAAGATCTCCCGCCCGCTTTCTGTTCCGGGATCTCCCCGGGATCGCACTGGGATGATGACCCCCGGTGACTTTGCCTCCCTGCAGGAAGGCCACGAAGGCCTGAGCACCGAAGATTACATTGCCTGGAAGCTACCGTGAGTTCATCCCATCTCATTGATCTATTTATACTTACACTGTGATTAGTGAGGAGGAAGAGCCCGAAGAGCACTTCCCACTTACATTGCGAACCCGCAAAACCACGGAGCGCCCCCAATCCCCGTTGGACAGCATCTCCATCAACGGTCGCCAGCTCGGTGACAGTCCGAAATAGGAGGGCAATAGCCGTATAACCGAGGGTTTCCGTACTTATTGGAACTCATTTCTCTTGGGGCCCCTTGGTTTGGGCGCCCCTCACCTGACGTCATTTGTACTTGTTTAATTACTGGGATCTTTTTACGCATCTGAAGCCAATGTTTACTGAACAGTGAAAGAAAGATCATATGTGAGTAGCCCGTAGAATATAGGTTGTCAAGCTACAGAGCTATAGAGCTATAGAGCTAGAGTTATAATGCAGTATAGAGCTGTAGGGGCCGGAGTGTATAGCTCCGGATCGGAGCTGTTAGAGTTCAGATCCCGGTGAACCCTTTTTGTCCCGGCTATTTCAACCCCTCCTCTGCCCCTCCTCTTCTTCCTCCTTCAACTACTTCACTTCCAACTATACACGTCTACCTTCGGTACGACTCCCAATGGAGCCGCGCACGTCCACCCTGCGGGGTTGCAGGACAATGTCCTCGCTAAGATGATGAGATGGATCAAGGTATTTGTTCTTGGTATAACAGTCGATGCACACGCATGACAGGTGTTCGGCTCAACTGGTCGGGGGACCCTAAGCTTAGGACTTCCCTCGATTAGCTGGCCGTTCTGAGATTATACTGTCAAAACTTGATCTAGACAATACTAGCGAAAGGACATGCGTGACTTTGATTGTTTCCCCTTGTGTTTTTATACTTCGTTCTGTTCACTTCTGCTTGCAGGTTCAATATTATCCAATTATCTCAATTGCTCAGGTCTCAATCGAAGGCATGAGCATGAGCATGAGATGGATATGGCCTGGCTGTGGATTGGATAGGACTGAGTGCTGTCTCTTTCGGCATACTGACCTAATTGAAGAATAACAGCTTGATCTATCTGCCATCATGTCTACCGACAAGATCACTTTCTTGACCAACTGGTATGCTGACAGTCCTAGTGCCTTTTACTCGTCCCATTTCATTCAGTGCCATTGTTCCATCTATGTAGTTCAGCTGGCTAAGTGTTTGTTTCTCAAGGCACGCGACCCCGTACCACGCCCCCCTCTACCTCGCCCAGGCTAGAGGCTACTTCAAGGATGAAGGCCTCAAGGTGGCTCTGCTCGAGCCCAACGACCCCTCCGATGTGACCGAGATCATCGGCAGCGGCAAGGTCGACATGGGCTTCAAGGCCATGATCCACACTCTGGCGGTTCGTGCTCTCTTTGGATGATCTGAAAGACCCTTGCTGATTCCCCTCTAGGCTAAGGCTCGCGACTTCCCCGTCACTTCCATCGGCTCCCTGCTCGATGAGCCGTTCACCGGAGTTGTGTACCTC